GTAGTAGTAGTTTATGGTAAAACAAGTGTTGGCACGCCAGCAGTGTCGTCAGCAGCAGCAGGCTGATCAGGCTGCTGAGCAGGCTCCAGTACTCCTTTACTTCATCACTGGCATTTACATGGTTAGCCAGGGGGGAAGGGAGGGGAGTGGGGAATAAGTATGCACGAGAGAGAGAGAAAGTGAAATCACACATTGCCGTACAGCACAAAATAAAAGGGGGTATTTGATCGGGGTTTGGTCCATTGGTTCATCATCAGCTGATACTCTTGAGCTCGGTTTACTTAGATTTGCAGCACTATTCCGCCGGCTGAAAGAAGAAGAAGGGAAATACAGAACAGTTAGTTTTGAGAACATAATAAACAGCCCCCCCTCCAAAAACTCACCGGAGACATTATCCCCTCCTCCGCCCGTCTGAACTACATTAGTGCAGACGAGGCCGACGGCGAGGCAAAATTGCACCCGGTCCAGCTGGCCCTCACGCTCATTCTCCGGATTCTCATTGGGCAGCTTCTCCGTCCAGCAAGGGGTCGGGTCGGCCGGGTCGAAGAAGATGCGCCGGCCGTCGCCGTTTCGAATTGACGTCGTGAAGGACTCGTCGAGGAGGATACGGGCCGTCTGCAGGTCCACCTGCTCGGAGCCGCACTAGAAAGAGGGGAGAGTGAATGGTTAGAAAGTGAAGTAAACATACACAAAAACAAACACTGACAGTGTGTCGGTAGGCGGTGAGCGCCGCCTTGGCCATGGCCGCCGCACTGTTCGGCCACTTGGCGTCCTTCGCATCCTTTCCACCTCTCCCCTCCTTCTCCTCCAACTTGACCGCCACCACCTGGTAGGCGAGGGTGTGCACGTGAATGCGCGACACCCGCCCGCCGTCGATCATCGTCAGCAGACTGTACAGCTGGCGCATCTCATCGAGGACGTGGGCGATGCGGGGGAAGGGCGACGAGACGAGGGAGATGTTGCCGTACTTGAGGAAGGACAGCAGGTTGGCCACCTCCTGCTCGTTCATGCCGAAGGAGTCGACGGTGGGGAAGAGCGAGTCCACCACGGCGCCCAGCAGCGCGTTCTCCGTGTAGCTGGCCATCTCAAAGTGGACCTTGAGGGCGGGCCGGTGGTACTGCAGCACGCGCAGGTCGTCCGCCATCCTGCCGATGGCCGCCGAGCGCTGCTGAATCGCCAGCGGACTGTTGTCCAGCATCTGCAGGCCGCTGATGATCAGCAGGTCGGGCGGGTGGTGGTGGTGGTGGTGGCCGTCGCCGCTGCCGCTGTTGTTGAACTCCTTGAAGACCTCCTCAAAGAAGGGCGCCCTGGAGACGAGCTGCGCATTGTTGTCATCGGAGTGGACAATCAGCCGATTGGCCCGTGGCGTCTGGTAGGGGCCCCAGCGCTGGCCGGTGCGGTACTCCAGCAGCAGGTGGTAGTCGTCCTGCTCGATCGTCGGGCCGCTGATGCGCACCGAGGGCGGCAGCTGCCGGGCAAAGGCGGGCGTCACCTGGGCGCCCAGCAGCAGGCGGCTGATGCCCTCCTTGGCGAAGCGCTCCGACATCAGCGGCGCATTGCCGCCGATGTGCTCGCGCCAGCTTTTGGGCTTCTTCTTGACCAGCTCCAGCAGCTGCTGAAAGACGGCCTTTGATTTGATGTACCGTCTTCGGGTGATGACATGGGGAAATAGAAATTCGAAAAAATGGTTAGGATTTAAAAATGGAAAGTGTAGAAGCGTTGTCATCGACTTACTCGGCAGCGGCGGCATTCTTGAAGTAGAAGGCAAACAGCTCCAGCAGATCTTGCATTGTGTTAATCTGCGAGTGCGGTTGCGGGTTAGCCGGCGCCGTAAACTTCTCAAAGATCTGCAGACTGTCGACCACCAGGTCGGTGCAGGCGCCGAAGCCGATGGCAATGGAGGCATTCGTGTTGACGGCGGCACTCTTCTCTCGCTTTAGCAGCCCCTTAAGAACAGCCTCCGTCGTGGGATTTGATGAAGAGTAGAACAGGGTAGAGATGGTCGAGGTGAGCGCCGAGGCCGAGAGTGACCTCAGCAGCAGCGGCGGCTCTTCCTGCCCGAAGAAGAGGAGATAGAAGAGCAGCGCCGAGGTGATCAGCACCGCCAGAGAAAGCTTCAAGTTGATATGATACATTCCCTTCTGGCCGGTCCTGGCGGATCGGGATGTTCCTGAAGTGCCCGTCGATGTCGACGTCGTTTGTCCATCCTGATCCGCAGAGTCCGGAGAAGGGGATGATGATGAGGAAGAAGAAGTACCCGCTTGTCTTCGCGTTTTCACGGCCATTTCAGTCTTCGAGTGTCTCTTATCTTATTTCGGTAGTGTGTGCGGACAAGTACTCTCTCTCTCTCTCTCTCTCTTGTCAGCATCGATGTTGTCGTCGTCGCCGTCGTCGGCCATCAACGATGGCAGCCGCGAGAAGCCATAAAACAACTCATCAGCATACATGTATAAAATGGAAAGAGGATTCAAAGCAGGGCAATAAAAAAGCGATAAAATCAAAACATTGGTTTTATCATGCAGTTGCGTCATCTGACGGCCAAAGTGAGAGCTGGAGGAAAAACGTTGGAAAACGAGCTTTTTCCTTCTTCGTACACTCTAATGAGGAGGAGGTAATTTTTCTTTTGCGAGTTTCTTCGGGATTCTAGAGTTTTTAGATTTGAACAAAAGCTCATTTTACGCAGAAAGACTTCTAGTTTAACATAGATGCAATAGCTGAATAGATGAGCTATAAAAATCTGGATCAATTTTGAAAACAAAAGAGCAAAAAATTTCAAAAATTCAAATCGCTTCAACGGCTATGGGCTCGTCACAAACGACATGATGCTCATTGGAAGGCTCGCGCTCCTTGAAGAAGTTCACGTCGAAACTCCAAAACTTTTTGAGTACCCAGAGTATTTCCAGGGGCGTTCTTAAAACAGAAAAACGAAAATGATCTTGGAGTGTAAACGGCAAAAAGTTTCGGCTCAGAAAGCAATCAGGGAGAGAACGTTTGATGATTCTTTTAGGTCGAAGAACCAGGAATTCACCAGAACCAGGGCAGCTGGGCACTGCCGCCTGGCGGCGATTCTCTGGGCGCGCGGCTGCTTTTGCTGGAGGCAGCATGCTAGAAAACGGCTCGTCGAGCAGAGCTCGCAGTCATTCGGACAAAGACCTCCGCCGAGTGAAGACCTGTGGACCTCACCTTCTCCACCATCATCATCCTCGTCACTTTGCCGCTGGCGCTAGTCCGTCTTTGCCCTTGACCCATCACCACCTCTCACTATCCCCTGCCACCATGGCCCACTTCGACAATAGGTTCACGCCGATCATCTGGAACTCCGCCGAGTTCCTGGTCGCCCCTCGGATGCGCCCGCAGATGCTGATGGGGCCGCCATTGCCGCCATTGCCGCCATTGCAGCCATTGCCGCCATTTGGCTTTCCCTCGGAGCCGACTTTTGAGCCACCTCGTCACCTCGCTCCCCAGACCTTTGGCACTTCGGAGTTCTTCTGCGCTCCCCCTCCTCCTCCTCCTCCTCCTGCCTACTTTGACGCGGCCTGGTCCTCGCCCTTCTCCGAGGCCACGAACAGTCCCTGGGGCAGTAGCAGCGGCGGAGGACTCAGCGAGCTGCACTCGGCGCCGTCATGGCCGCCGAAGTTGTCCTTTGTCGCTCCTCAGGTGTTGCCGCCGATAGGCCACCGTCGTCTGGCGCGCGCCACCTTCTCCACGGACTCGGGCTCGTCCGCTGACGCAACCTTTGCGCTGCGCCCGATCACCGCTGCTGTCAACGACGGCGCCCGCCGCCAAGTGCCCAAGTTCGTCCAGCTGAACCAGCCCAACTACTACCCGGACAGAGATCCGAGCAAGTTCTTCCTGGACACGGTGGCGGTGGAGAGCGCCTCCGTCGTGGCGCAGATTGTGGGGAAGAAGGGCGCCAAAATCGAGGCGCTGATCGCCAAGTTCGACGTCAAGATCCACACGCCCAAGGCCGAGGAGGAGCCGGTCTTCATCATCAAGGGCAGGCGCGCCAACGTGTACCGCGCAAAGGAGGAGATCGTGAGCGCCGGCGCTCACTTCAAGCGACTTGACGCGCTGAAGCGTGCCAAGTTTGACTCGGCCTTCCCCTCCGAAGGTCGGTGTGACCATCTTTGTGTCTTACCTTTTTATTCTAACCTTGTTCCTTTTCCACTTTGCAGAGTACACCTCTCGGAAGGTCTTCGTGCCCACTGCCTACATTGGCATGGTCATCGGACGACGCGGCCGCGTGGTGCACCGCCTGCAAGCCGCCCACAAGGTCTTCGTGGAGACGCCGCTCTCCAGCGTTCGTCCCTTCTTCCACATCCACGGCGACAGGGCGGCCGTCAGCAACGCCATCAACTCGATCTACGAGTTGCTGGCCAGCCGGACCGGCATCGCCTTCCTCTACAGCCAGCGGCTGGTCGATGGCGTGGTGGAGGTTCACCTGGAGATGTGAACACTCCTCTTTTCTTTTTCACTTTTATTCCCTCTATCCCTATTAATATAATCCTCTATCCTTATTTCCCTCTATCCTTATTTCCCTCTATTGCATCCGGCCTACTTTCTTTAGTTTTAGTTTTTATCTCTCTCTTTCTCCTTCATTTATTTTCATTATTGCATTTTACATATTTAAAATTTTTTTACTTGCATTATTAAAATGGTTTTTGTGTTTGTGTATAATTTTTTATTTTGTTTTATTTTTAACCTTGAGAAAAAGTGAGTGAGAGAAAACGAAACATTTGAAATCAACAAGAGGAGAGAGAGAGAGAGAGAGAGAGAGAGAGAGAGAGAGTTCAACGGAAAGATCACCAATTCCTCCATTGCAACTTTGTCAACGCAGCAGTGATCAGTCGAGGTAGTGCTCCCCTGCCGCCGCCGACGATGAAGACCGATTCTTACCGAGTTCCTCAGTATTCGGCTCAGATCAGACGACGAGCGAGGAAACATTGGTCACAGAAAGAGAGCGAGCAGATGATAAATAGTAGGGCTCCGCAATTTTTTACCAAACGGTGCACTTGTGAACGGAGTTGGACTTGGTGCCCGACTTGCACTGGAAGGCCTCCGCAAACGGCTCGTAGTTGCTGAAGGCGACGTTGACTCTGTGGAAAGGAAAAGAATAGGAGTTTTAGAAATTGGATGATACTCTAAGAATTCTAAGTAATCAGTACCTCGCCTCCGAGGGACTGTGGCTGTCCGTGTCCAGGCGCGTCTTGAACATCTCCGGCGAGGACTTGCTGCACCAGTTCATGGCGGCGGCAATCCAAAAGAGCTGCTTCGAGGTGTACTTCAGCCCGGGCAGAGGCAGCTCTTCGCCAAACTTTTTGGTGTACTTTTCGTACGCCTGGAAGGCCTCCCGAATGGCGCCATTGTCCGCTGAAACGGGAGTAAATAAGAAAACACCGAAAAGATGATGAAACAAACCGTCATCTACGAGCGGAGCCCAGCAACCCAAAAAGTTTTTGGGCCAAAAACTCACCGATATTCTCCTTGAGCGTGAGGTCGCCGTTGATCTTCAGGCCCGCCTGCAGGTCGTAGTCCTTGTACTGCTTGATCATGCACTGCGCCTTCTCATTGTAGTGCTTCTTCGTCTCGTTCTTCCACCAGTTCCGGGCGTTGCCAATCTCATCAAACTGGGCGCCGATGTTGTCGAAGCCGTGGGTGATCTCGTGGCCGATCACGTAGCCGATGGTGCCAAAGTTGAGGTACTGCGGCCGGTCGTTGTCGAAGAAGATGTCGCGGAGGATGCCCGCGGGGATGACGATCGAGTTCGCCTGCGACCAGTAGAAGGCGTTCACATTGGCGGCGTTGGCAAAGTACTTCCAGCTGGAAAAGAATGAGTTAGGAGTTAGAACTTTGCGAGCATTTCAAAGCATGAGTGCACAACAGTGGACTCACTTGTGAGGATCATTCCGCCGGCGGAGTTTTTTAAACTCATTCTTGTGCGCCCAGATGCGCACTCGGCGAATGTTCAGCTCAAAGTTGTCCGGCGTCAGATCGAGCTAAACGGAGAAAGAGAATAAGGTTAGTAAAGCCTGCCTAAGTCCTTTGTCAATAAGTCCAGCAGTACCTCTTTGTAGTGCTCGGTGACCAGCGTGTCATTGGCCAGCTCCTCGGGGTAGCCGACAATGGCCTTCATCATGCGCGACTTCTTGTAGGCGTTCTTCTTCGTCTCCCCGTCCATCCACTCCGTCTTGTGGAGGATGTCATCAAACTCGTCCTGTATGAAGCGGACCATCTCCACGGCCTACCGGTGAAACAAACCAATGAATAACATTGAAAAGACAAATCGAAATCTCTTTCTTTTGCTTACCCTTTCCCTGGAGGAGCCATTAAAGTGGTGCCTGATGTAGAGCGAGGAGAGCGCCATGGCGAGACTGCCCGTCAGCTGCGACAGACAGAGCTTCCAGCGGGCCATCTTCTCGGTGATGCCGTACAGGTGCCGATTGAGGTTGTCCTTCATGTCGCGCATCACCCGATTCCCGGTGCCCAGGTTCTGCAGCACCACACGCCACAGCATGTAATTTGAGAGCAGGCTGAAAGGATAAAAAAGAAGATAATGAAAGGCTGTTTTCAAGCCAAAAACAAATTCCCGCTTACCGCTTATCGTGCTTGTTGACAAAGGAGATGAGGTAGTCAATTTGGCCCATGTAGCGAATGTTGTCCACCATGACCAGCTCCTTCGGCGTGAAGACCTCGCCGTTGACGTCGAGGGCGGCGTTCACGAAGCGGACCCAGTCATGGCCCAGANGGAGAGGAGGCTGAAGAAAAAGAAAATTAGGATAAGGATGAAAATGAAAGGTTCTGGGTCATCTAAAAAGCAAATTCCCACTTACCGCTTATCGTGCTTGTTGACAAAGGAGATGAGGTAGTCAATCTGGCCCATGTAGCGAATGTTGTCCACCATGACCAGCTCCTTCGGCGTGAAGACCTCGCCGTTGACGTCGAGGGCGGCGTTCACGAAGCGGACCCAGTCATGGCCCAGACGAGTCTGATTGTTCGCCAGGACTTCCGTCTATGTAGTGAAAAAGGAAGAGACATTTAACATCAGTTCATTTGGCGTTCTGTTCTGTTTTATTGATCCTGTGCAGCATCAGCATCAGTTGAACACAAAGAGCTTCTTCCCGCAATAACAACAGAGTGATCACACAATTGCATCCGGCTCATCTTTGATTTCCGTATTGCACTACCATCACCATNCCGAGTCTGATTGTTCGCCAGCACTTCCGTCTAGTGAGGAGAAAGAAGAAAAAGACATTTAGAAACATTGTAAGTTCATTTGGCGTTCTGTTTTATTGATCCTGTGCAGCAGCAGCAGCAGCTGAACACAAAGCAACTTCTTCCCGCAATAACAACAGAGTGATCACACAATTGCATCCGGCTCATCTTTGATTTCCGTATTGCACTACCATCACCATCACTACATCTCCACTGACCGCCTGGCATCTATAGTTTCTATAGTTAGTCATCAGCTGTCAGCTTAGAATGTGATGGCTATCGATGAGAAAAGAAAAGAGAAAGGATACAGAAAGAGAAAGAGAAAGAGAAAGCGCGCGGAAAANCCACCATCACTACATCTCCACTGACCGCCTGGCATCTATAGTTTCTATAGTTAGTCATCAGCTGTCAGCTTAGGATGTGATGGCTATCGATGAGGAAAGAGAAAGGATACAGAAAGAGAAAGAGAAAGAGAAAGCGCGCGGAAAATCGCAACGACAATCGGCAATCGGCGTGAAAGGCGAAATGTGAAATGTCAATAGAGAAGACGACGCCGGAGAAGAAAAACAATCACCTCAGCTGGTGTGCACGTGAGCCAAAAAGAACACGGGGATGATCAAGAACAGCAACAACAGCAGACGGAACAGCATCCTTACCAGCATCATCATCAGCAGCAGCCGGCGATTATCACCCGCACTTAATCGAGCGAGCACATTAGCGAGCAGACACAGCGTCTGTCGAATATGAATCTCTCTCGCCAGCAGAAGTAAAAAGAAAGACCACAAAGAGAAACCAGCAGACACCGCCAGAACGTGATCACTGCCCGGCCGTTTCCCTTTGGGGATGATCACACTTCAGCAGCAGCATCAGCAGCATCAACAACAACTTTGGCTACACATGTTCACAACCAGAAGGCCTCGAACATCAGCAACCACAGCAACAACTGTGAGCCATTAGTCGTCGGGTGCCAGCCGTTCACTTCTGCTCCAAAGTGGCGCCCGCGCACTCGGTTATTAATTTAGCTCGTGGCCGCCGTCGTAGTCTGTCGGCGGTAATCAATTACCTAACAAGCAAACTCTCTTCTCTGTGTGCACACACACACACACCGGTCCGGACACAGCACACCGAACAGTATCGCACATCGTCTGCTGTGGATGTAATGGCTGTCTGTACTACACTTGCACCATTGTCCGGGTGAAAGAAGAGAGGGAAAGAAAAGAAGAAAAGTTTGCTGAAAGGGGAGAAAGATGAACCTGATATCAACGCTGCCGCCAAGCAGACAGCGGCACAAAAGCCAAATCGAAAGGTGAAAGCAGCACACCACTGATTGAAACTGTGTCCTGTGCTGGCGGCGACGGTAAATCACCGCACCGGCATCGTTTCCGACTCTCTTTGAAGCCCCCCTCCTTTTTCCTCTGAAGTTGGGTGCATCTTTGAAAAAAAGCTGCTGAAAAGCGAGTGAAAAATGCGTAGGTAGAGGAAACCGGTGCAGCAGTGCATCAGTGCGGGTCCTACTCTCTATTCAGGCTTGACCTAATCTACTTACCCTGACTGTGCACTACCGAGTTTTGCTGTACCAGCATCAGTATCAGCGCTGTCCAGCAGTCGGTGCACGTTCTACCATTCTACGTTTCCTCCTCCTTATGCACACACATTTTTCAGCATCTTCTCTCCCCTCATCATCACCGTCATCCGGCGGCATTATCTGAGCGACGCACGTACGGCGAGCGCGAAATATGGCTAAATGTGCGAACTAACGAAAAGGGAGAGAGAGAGGCTCTAATAATAAACACACACAGGACAGGACAGGACAGCTGAAAGGAAGCAGAGGACACAAAGTATAAAAGAGAGTGAAAGAAGAAGAAGAGGGGGAAAGGAAAGGAAGAGAAGAAAGGGATATCGAAGCAAGAGATGGTGGTAGTGCTCAAAGCGAGTATTCCTCCCCCTCATCTCTGCTGCCTCATAAATCCTACCGCAAAAGTGATGCGCGGCGATTGTCTTCCTTCCTCTCTCTTTATTGTCTCTCTGTCTCTCTGTCTGTGGGCCATCATCCTGCGGTAATGCTCGCTGGCAAAGAAAGTGGCAGCTTCTGCTTCGGCTGCTGCCCATTAGCAAGCCAGCTGCCTTAGTTAGTGCAATTAATACACAGAGGCAGCAGCAGTAAAGGCGCCAAGGCAAAAGATAAAGAAGAGGAGGAAGAGGATCCTCTAATGACCAGGCAGCAAAACCTTTCTCTCTCTCTCTCCGTAATGGCTGCCTCAGCATCGTCTAGAGACACCCTGGTCCGACTGAAAGGGAAAGAGATGTGCACATCACAAAGCAAAGTACAGCACACACACACACAGACACTCTGCTGCGGCCAATTAATCTGCCATTGAATCCTGCTCCCTCTCCCTCTCTAGCTCGGGCGAATGTTAGCACTACATTAGAGAGGCTTCATTTTAAATTGTAATAATAATAATGCTTAGAGTTGGCGGGCGCGCGTTCTACACAGCGGTTCTAGCGTGCTCGTTCTCGTTTTCACTGCCACCACAGTGTTGGTCGCATACTTTCACTTGAGAAAGAAAGAAAGAAGCAGAAATGGCAGTCGTTTTTCTTTCTTTCTTCTTTTCCTTCTTGCATCCCTTGCATCCTTTCTTCTGCTATCATTCCATTCCCCCC